TAACAAAAAACGCATCTACGTGGTTCCCCCTACTACATAAGGTGTGGAAATTTGGTTGTCCTAAGGAATTCTCATAAATGTAATAATAAATTAAGAAAATCTACAAAACAACTTCAGACACAATACTAACAAGAAATTAAGTGTGGGTAATTAAAGCGGGTGTGAGGAATGGAACGTAAAAACCCACCAGAACAATAATAGTTCTATAAAACTTTACGTAGTCATGACAACGCATACAAATACCTGTGACTGTTGATTCATCACCACTGATTAAGCTGTGGTGATTGAAATTTGCCATCACTAACTGACAAAACATCAAACGACAAGTATATACATATAGAGAAACGAACCAGTTAAACAAATTAGAATTACAAAAATTAAAATAAAAAATGATAATATACTGGACCACTTGAACTCTAAGACCATAGATGTTTGCCTCGCTCTAGGCATAGATGATTGTCCTTTCATCTGTACTGTGCTCTCCAATGCAAGTACAGGTCTTGTGATGGGCTGATCTCCCATTGAGGGAGTCTCGTCTAACGATTTATAACTTGGGAATCAATTCACAACTGTAAGAGTCCAAATGGCCCAATCCGTGATTATATTTTATTTACTAGTCTGGAGTATAACCCGTCAATGTTGACGGGAATAAATCAACTTTGTGCTGAATTGTAATACAATTTATTGCAATACTATCCTTGCATATATTAAAAGTACAAAATCTATCTAATGTATTAACAAATTAATTAAATGTCAAATGTCTTCAAGGCGAAAAAGTACCAAATTAAACCCGACTGCCTGACCCCATCATGACCTACCATAATTTTCTTGCTATCAGAATCGTCACCAGAAAAATTTAATTTCAATTTTCCCTCAACGCACAAATGGCGCCTTAGTACAGTAAAGTATGACAAGCACTTGCTATTATGATAGGAGTAGATAGTTGCCATTTTATCAGACCATATTGCATTGATTGATAGAATTATTAAGTAACAATTTGTAGTCGTTATTTTAGTTAAGGTTAAATATTCTGACACTTGTCTGAAAGGCCTGTGAAAAGCCACTCGAAACCTCAGGATAGCCGGTCTCCGGGCCGAGATATAAACCTAGGACCCCCCAAATACGAAGGAGGGGTGTTATCAACTCAGTTTCTAAGTTCGGTATAAGCCATGAAAGCTAAATTATAAAAACAATAATAAATCACAATTTTTTTAACTTTTTCGGTGTCTTAATAATTTACTTCAAGATATACAATTTCTATCCCACATACATGCAGTAGGCCTGTTGTAAATTATTTGATCAGATCTGTGTCCCAAATAATTTTAACGTCACTAAAATAAGGATCCTTTCTACGTCTGTAATTACAGTGGATTACCAGAAGACGTTTAGATTTAAAGAACATAAGCTATGTTCCGAACGACTGATTTCGAAAGTTCTCTTTAATTTTACACTTGGCTAGCTAACTCTTAAAATCTTTCTCCCTCTGCTGAAGAGGGAATTTCTGTTCGTTCCTTCACAGAAAGTTCTTGCAGTAGGCCTTCTAACTTCTGACTCTTCATGCAATGTCAACCTACATGCTTCTTATTTTAACATCTGACCTGCCTTCGCTGTCTTATTAATTCATTCTCATTTTCCAGCGACTGTACAATCAATAACTCGAGTGGAGCGGGACGGTCACGCCCGGAAACCTAAAATTTTAATTTCAAAGGTAATCTTAACCGCAAAAGCTTCTGCAGTTGATCATAGTCTTCACGCCTTTTGGTTTAAAAATTCCTTTCTAAGTCCTGTACGTTTACATTTATTACCGACTAGAAAAAATAGACTACCACGTGTGGAAGCTATAATCGTCAAGGGAAACAAGCACTGAAAATAAAACTGTTGAGTTACGACAATTGTCAGCCACACGTGTTAAGCAGTGGTTTTGTCAATTGTCCAAACCACATGCCCCAGAAACTTTCACTCCTTCCGCTTGTCTGCAGCCTCTTCGCAAAATTCTGCAACAGCATTTGATGTCGTTTCTGTACGATGACAGTCTTTCACTCCCCCCCCCCCCCAAAAAATTCATAACATTCAAATAAAACTATTTTGCATTGTAATTTGTGACGTAAATACGTCTATAAGGAAGGGTCATTCGGCACAAAAGTGTGACGAAAAAGGGAAACGAAAAAGTAAAACGAAAAAGTGTAACGAAAAAGTGTAACTGCATTGTTATGTTACCTAGGAAACGTCGTGTTTGCTCGGCATTGTTGTTACCTAGGAAACATTTCGTTACATTACATTACTTTACATTACATTCATCTACCACAGACCCATCTTAAGCGTAACTAATTCAAGTTAAGCATTCAAGCATTTTTGTTACCTAGGAAAGTCATCTGTTTACTCGGCATTGTTGTTACCTATAAAACATTACATTACCTTACATTACATTTCATTACAACACATTCAGCTACCACAGACCCATCTTAAGCGTAACTAATTCAAGTTAAATAAGCAAAGTCTTAATCAAACTTATCTCAATTGTAAAGCATGTATAAAGGAAATATTTAGAATAAAGCCAATATATAAACTTCCTTTCTGTATAGACGTATTTATGTCAAATTCTCCGGAACCGTGGTTCCACTGACAACTTTTTATTTAGTCCTTTTCCTTTACTGGTTTTTGCTAACTGCAGTGAGCTCACAATATTTTCCACTAAACCGAAAATTACATATAATTGCCACAGGCAATTCAATTTCAGACTCGCTGTGTAATAATATTGGCGTTTCTATAAATATATGCCCCGACCTTTTCTTAAAAACAAAGAAGTTGGACAGATAAATTAATTACTCACACATAATCGGTCATATATTTCTTCTCCAAGGCAAAGATGTAGTATTTTATTGAAATTAAAATTATTTCCCCAATTTTTTACACGCATTTTTTCAACGATGTGCATAAAATAAATAGAAGCGTAGAGGGCTAGTGATGTTTGTCTGTCGATAGGCTTGATTCAACCAAAGAACCACTGGACGAATTTCGATTAAATTTAATACAGACGTTGTGTCACTGATGTCTAACCTAAAATCGTACTTTTCAAGTTCCTAATCATTAATACCAACATGGCGGACGAACAGAATTGCAAGGTGGGATCGGCACTAGCGTCACTTGAAATACGGCCATAAAATGATGTATGTAAAAGATTTTTGGAAAAGTAATTCTGTGTATAACGTAACTGAACAACATGGCGGCTGCGTGAATAAAACTTTTTGACTTGACCAGAATTCGAACTCGCAACCTCATGCAAAAGTGTCCTGTCCACTTCCTCTTTACTTAAAGAAAGAATGATTTGTACAAATTGAACTTAAAGTTGTTTAACTGGTATATTTTATTAAAAATTAAGAATTTGCAAAGAACGTGTGTATTCCGGTACTGATTAAACCTTTCCGGTCCTTTTCACAGTCTTCATAAACTGTTCCTACATTTCTGGACGAAGCGTTTGTTGTCCTGTCTGTGGCTTCCCATAAAGGAATTATGGGAATCCTTATTTTCCGTTCAGAATTTGAAAATGATATAGGCTTACATAATCTCATCTTCAGTTCAGACTATTATACTAACGAAATGATGTATTAGTTCCTTGTTTCTCCACTGAACTCACTTTGTCAGCACACGACAACAAACTCATGTGCACATCTCAAGACATTACAACAATCTAAACGGGTCATTCTATATTACTTATAACTTTTCTACCATGCTGCTGAACTGCTATAATTTCCGCATTTGTTTGTTTTCTACAGTATCTTCAAAGCTTTTGATAATTAAATGTCTTGAGTTAATTTTCCGTGATAGTTGATGGGCCTAGGGTGCTTTCAGTTGTACAATACATCGATTATTGTTTCTTCAGTTTCTTTCAAATGTAATATACACTAATTACATTACATAACTATCACTAACCACAACCTCAAAACTGTGGTTTTTGGACCATGTTATGTTATAATTTTTCTGCTGTGTCCTAAAGCCTGATTTGAATTTTGTCCTACTCGTGTACTGTGATCCGGATGCATCTTATTCATTATTTTATATTATCTTACAGTATTCTGTCATTGCTTCACATAACATCATATCAGAATTTGATAGTTACAGCAAGTACTTATCAAGGAAAGTAGAACAATAATTAAGAGATATATATCATAATAACGACCCTCACAGAACCGGCTCAAAGAGCGAGCCAGCAACAGAACTGTTCCCGTTTTTAAAATTGCCTATTGATTCAATAAGTGTTACTCAACTTGGACATTAGATGCCAGCACTTTCCGACCCTAGGTATTGTAACTAAAAATCTGTAGTATCGGTCTGTTCCGGAAATGTTTCCGCCAGTTTCGCCCAGAGCGAGCCAGCAGTCGAACTATTCCCCTACCCATAGTGTCACTCATTTAGTGTTATTCATTCCAGCCATTAGATGTCAGCACGTTCCGGCCTTGTGTACACTCCAATAAATTTATATATTCAAAAATAAATATGTTCAGAGGTGATAATACAATAAACCATAACTGTTGTAGTTTAAACACATCTGTCCCGAAATTTTTTACTTAAAAAACGTGATCATGAACCATCTTTGTATCCAATTAGATCACTTTAATTTGTATAGATGTTTCTTATTTCAATGCTAAAAATTTGTTTCAGCTGTGGTTACAACGACATGTTGGTATTTCTGCGGTATAGTCTGTGCGAATGTCTGTTGTCCCACGCGCTTATGTGTTACATACATGTGTTAATATGTTTTCTGTATGTTGACTTTAAGCATGTTAATAATGTTATGTATTATTTTCATATGCTAGTGATATTGATTGCAGTTGGTTAGAGGGTCTTACGTTCGGTGACGTGACATTTAGTATTGAGATTATTTTTTTAATGTTAAGAAATTGTTTGATTAAGATATAATGCTCCGATTTTTAGCTCGCCTGTTTGTGATGTATAAATCAAGAATGAAACTTGGTTGGTTAGAGAAAACATGTGCGATATGAAGACCATATACAACCATTTCTAAATTATATATATATTTGCAGTTGCGAGGACCCGACTCGCACAATAATTATTCGAACCTAAGCTCCCTAACCTGTAAATGTATTTAGTTTTATTTGTGGTTACCAGCCCAAATGCAGAGGAATTCAGATTACAGAATTTAACCAGTCACTCTGCTGTAAAAGCAGACTTGAATGATAAAGCAATCTTGCCTCATTTGCAAGGTTTTGTTGATTTTTTGTTCCCCAAGCGTTTTGTTTATGCTAGGAATAATGTTGTTACACTTTGAAATATGTCTGTGTTCAATCGATATGAAACGTTTTGGGACAAATGCAGTCATTTTAGCCCTTTGGAATATACTTAAATGTACCAACATTCAATGTTGTGTTTGCATACTGTTGTAAACATTAATTTTTGCATACTTGTGATACAGGAGTTGTATTTAGCTAAGAAATATTGATGTTGTCTATTTCAGGTATTGTTTATTTATCTATTGGATGTGGAGGCTTTGTTAAGTCTGTTTCAACTATTATGTCTATTGAAATTTTATGTCAGATTTATTTTATGGTTGCCATTTTTTATTCTAGGTTCTGTTTTCAAAGTTAATTTGGTTGCATGTATGTTATAATGCAGAGCTTTCGTGGAAATGAAGATCCAGTGAATTGTCTCACTACTTCAGAAATAATTTATTCAGAATTACAACGGATATTTATGAAAAGCAAAGGGAAGGAAGATTGTAATAAATTGTTAAAACTGGTGGTTTGTTTTGTGACTGTTGTTAGCCCTGTTTCTGAGAAGGTTTGTATGAGTAGAACAAATAGCTTTATATGCTTTGTTGATATATATTATCATTATCTAATTGAAGCAAAAAGTATGGGTGACACAATGTAAAGTGGTGGCCAACTGTTGCCAGAAGTGTGTCACATTCTGTCAATCATAAATAATTAATTGTAATTTAAAACTTATTTTTTCATGATTATCAAAGCACGATCTATAAATACAAAATAAATGGGAATGTAAAAAGTGAATGGCATTCAGATTTGCTTAAAACTCTATTCCTCTGTTTTGTAATATTGACAGGTGTGCCTTTACTATTTGATAACTTGTTGTGTTAAGTAATTTAGAATTAGAAATTATAATTATTTGTGTTAGGCCATGTAACTAATGAATTGAAAGTTGTGCAGTGCTTGTTAGGAAAAGTGATGACAGGCAAGTTTTACCAATATTAAAGTCATAACTTATTCTGGCTCATTTCATCATTGTTGGCATTATGATAGATTTTAATTGTATTCAGAAATGTTGTGTGAAATGTACTTTGACTTGATGCTCATGTAACTTTTAAATGTCTGTTGGTGTACTCTTTTGGACCAAAAGTATTGTAGGTATTAATTTGTTTGTGACCATTCTTATCACTAAAATATTTTCACTTAACTAAGCTTTGTAATTATTTGGTCATTTCTGATGTGAAGGAATTGTTATGTCATGATCAAAACATTACTTCAAAAGCAGAAAATAATGAGTGATTATTAGTATAGCATTAGCATTATACTCTGTCTTTATTTTCATTGGCATTAAATCCATCTATCCAATGGCACTACAGCCCAATTTTGGGCCTTGGCCTTTTCCCATGTAGGAGGTTTCTTTGTCCTTGAAGTGTGCATCTGTGAGTAGTGAGTGACAAGCCCACTGCCTCTGCACAATTTCTACTCAATCCTTATTTGTCTGTTAGAGCCATGTAGTACAGAATCAGGAGAGACATGGGTGAGAAATGGTCGCTGAATTTTGCTTACGAAACTTCTTGTTCATGCTCATAAGGTTCTTTTACATACCTTAAATCTACGACATTGGACTGCTGGCTTTACTTCCCCTCTGAACAAAGTTGTGCTACAGATTTTTATCACCCTTAAAAATCCATTGACCTTGGCCGGGTTCAATCCCACAAACCTTGGGTTCAGTGGCAAGCACGCTAACCACTAGTCCACCGAGGGCGACACTGGCAATAAATATTGTCAGTATTTTTCATTTTTCTATAACACATTTTGTTCAAGTTCTATAATTTATTTTTGTTTTATGTTTCTTTATTTTTTGCATTTGTTCTTGTGTCTGTAGAGCCTGTCTATACAAATTACGGACGACAATGACCCCTTTATGTTGTACACACTTGTCATCAATGAAGTTGATTTCCAGTCGATCAAGGAGCAACAGGGACTTCTTATTGAATATGATAAGTTTCCTCAACAGCTGATAAAGTTACTCCACCTATGTAACAGTGTTGGAGGCAAGTGAGTACTTCCTTACTTTTTACAGATGGCAATTTTGTTTGATAAGTGGTGTCTAAGTCCATTGAACTGTGTAACAAAGGTTGGCAAAATGGTAATATAATTGTTTTTCATCAACATGAGAGAACAACTTGTCAGAAGTAAATTAATGTATGCAGAATATAAAAGGGCACAGAAGCATAAATGTTTTACTTCATATAATCTTGAAATTGTTTTTTTCAACAATGTATGAGATTAGGTTTTTTGAGGTTAAAATTTGCACCACCAGATACATTTAATTCTGTGCAAAATCATACAAATATTTTAAATATTTGTATTTTTAACCTTACATATTTCAGCTATTTGCCATCCTTAGCAATAACATAATTATTGCTGAATCCAGTGTGGAGCATGGCAACGAACAGACTGAACAAATTTTAACAGCAACGGGATGCTTTATTTATATAGAACACTGAAAAATAAAGTCAAATTGAACAGAGAAATGTTGCAGAAATACGTGTAAATAGGTTGTTACCACATGCTCTTAATTATGTAAGCACTTGAAACTGTTCCTGACACCTTAGAGAAAATGTAACGCTTTTAATACAGTAAATCAAGAAATAATTTTTGTGTCGCTATTAGTAGATATAATGCATTAAAGAAATTATAGAACTTGTAGTTCCATGAAGTAACCTGCAAGTCTGATTAAAGTATGATTGTTCCAGCTACCATATTATTATTGAGGAGGCAACTGGAGACGCATTTGGGTCTCGGCAAACTCTGATGAAGATCATTGAAACAAACCAGTTCAAACAGTTATGCCACCTGTCTCTTCTCTTCAGTATAGGGAATGATGCTGAGATTAAGAAGCACTTGGCTGTTCAATTAAAGTCAGTGAAGGTACTTTACTTTTTTGTTTTATTTTTAGGAGTAGTGCAAACTAGTATACTGTTCATGTATTTTGTTTCTGTTCAGTACTGTTGTTAGGTTATTACAAATATTATAATGTGTTATAATATTATTGAAGGCTGTAGTAGTGCTAAAACTGTTACAAATGTAATCAGTGCTCTAATATAATATTGTCCTGCTTTTTCATGACAATGCTTCTTAATTTTAATACCATATTCCATATACAGGATACACTGAGTCATGCAGAGTCTAAAGTTTCTCAGGCAGAAACGCGAGCCGAGGATCTTGCAAAGAAACTTGAGCTGAAAGATCGGGAGCTAGAAGAACTAAAAGATCGTTGGCATGATGAAACTAAAAATATTCACCAGCAAACAAGAGAAGAAATAAACAGTGAACGGGAGAGGCTCTTAAAGGTTCTAATTGTTATTTTTGTACTTACCATAATTATCCATCATCATCATCATTGGCTGTGCAGCCCTGTATGGCCTTCTTCAAAAGCTTCTTCCATTCTTCCTCATTCACAGACAATCTCCTCCAATTCCTCTCTCCTAGAGCTTCATGTCCTTAGATCATTTGCCAGTCCGTCATGAATGAGTCCATCCAGAATTTGCTTCATCAGATTTTGTAACAAGTTGCTTTTTACATGGTCAGGTTATCAGCCCAACTTGGAGGACCAGGCCTCCGTATTTACAGCCCCCAGAGGTGTGGTGGCCCAGCTATACCCCCAGGCACTGGTTAGCTTGGGTACCACAGGGGTTCCATTCCCCTTACCCACTGATGTGGGTCCCTGAGGGAATAATTCTCCATCAGAAGAGGGAATTTATCAATTGTAAAAAATGTGTTGAACTAGATTGTTGTTGTTATTGTCAAATTTACTTTGAAAACAGGACTGTTGAAGAACTCAAAAGTTCTGTGGTTTTTTATTTCTTATTCTGATCAAAATGTGTAATTTTTGGTAACAACTGATTTTATCATTGTGATTTGTTTTATAATTAATTCTAAAACACTGGCTGTTGTATACCTTTTTCCAAGAAAGAAAAATGCAATTACTAAGTTGCTCAGTTCTGAGTATTCTGTAGTTGCTACTAAAAATACATTCTGCAATTCAGAATGTCTGAATTTGAATGTATATTTATGTGTTTATAGATCATAAATTGTAATTTAATTTGTTATAAAAATGTGCGATAATGTCTTTATCAACTTATGAAATGGTTTCCTGCTTCAAATTATGCATGTTTCTTAGCATATTTTGTGTCTGAATGCATGTGTGGTAGCACTTTTCTTTAACTATTATCCATCATTAGGGTGATCTGTTGATGGAGGCAGCAAGGACATCTGAAACATTGGTAAACTTTTACCATATTTCACAGTGCTACAACCCAGAAGACAGCCATTTTTTAATTAGCTTCTGACTAGCAATCAAGAAAAATAATAAATACATAAACATGTAAAAAGTGGTATGCAGAACATTATGAAGTAGTGGAACTCAAGCAATCTCTCCCCTTTCACATTTTAATCTTAATTCACACAAAAAACTACAGTTAGTAAAAACAATCATCCCAATCTCAGTTACTTCTTGATACTTTGTATCTGATGTGGTGTTTTACTGGGCTCAAAGTGTGAAGCTTGTGTTTACTATTTCTCAGGCACAGCAGGACCTAAGGAAGTCTTTTGATGCTGAAAAGGTGCAGTTTCAGGAGATGCTGGCAGAAAATAAGCGAAGCTTTGAGTCTCTACTTGCCGGACTGCAGACTGAGAACAAAGCTTTGTTTGAACAGAGCTGTGAGTCAGATTCAAAACTGCGGTGAGTAACCCGGCCAACATTTTCATTCCCAAATTAATGTGAGTTCTGTAACAACTTGATGGGTATTCAGAGGGTGAGTACTCCTAAAACAAAAGCCTACCACTATGATCTGATCCTGAGTCATTTTAGTCTATATAATTGAAACCTCTGCTTTCTTAGGGTCCATTTTAATTAATAATTTCCTTCCACTTCCACATTTGTGTTTCAAGTGACTGCTTTCAAACAGGTTAGCAGCCAAGTTTTGTATGCATTCTTTGTTTCTCCCATTCTAGTTACATTTCATAATTACCTTAATTTGCTTATATTTTCAACAGATTTTAAGTCTGCTCCTCTTTAGATTTAATTTGATGTATTAATCATTACAGTTGTTGCATAAATAAGCTTTAAAATGTAAACTAAAGAAATTATGCTGTAAATAACAATGGTTTCTTCTGTTGCAGCGAACAAGATACCAAACTGGATACTCTGTATAAAGAAAATGTTGCATTGCAACGGGAGGCAACAATGTTGCGTAATCAGAGTGCAAAGTTGGATACTAATTACCATGAGAAAGAGACAAGTTTAAACAACTTGAAAACAAGATATGCAGTGTTGGAGCAGGTAGGAATAATGTTTTTCACTGAGAGCTATTATCTAAACCAACTCTGATGTTAGAACCACTATATGAAAGCCTGCCATTTTACCTGATTCACAGCCAGTAAATTACCAAGATGTGCATCCTTTAGATCTGCCTTAATTTTATCTTGTTATCTCTGTCTTGGCCTACCAGTATTCTGCATCTATTTCTCTTATGTTCTTTATTTAAACTACGTATCCATTCCTTTGTAGCTTCTTTGATCTAACTACCCTAAAAATAATGCGAAGAGTATAAGCCCCAAAGAACTTTATTATGCAGTTTCCTCATTGATTGAATGTAGAATTAGATTGCATGTTTATTCAGTTCTATAGCATTTCTTCTTCTTCTTCTTCTTCTTCTTCTATGGCTCTCCGGTCTGTATTCGGCCCATGGCCTCCTCAATTCTCCTCTTCCACTCGGCCCTCTGTTAGGTCCGTCTGTCTGAGGCTTTGATTGAGGTTTCGAAACATCTTCCTTTTTACAGTGCAAGGTTGTTAGCCTTGCGACCAACCCCCAACCTGGAATACCAGGGTACCTGTCTTAGTCTGACCTCTCCCCCTCGAACAATCTGGCTAGGGAGGCTCTACCAGTAGCTATGCTTCCGTTAGCATAGCTCTTGGGGTCACTGAGGTACTCAAGCCCCACCACAAGGTGCAGGTACCATTAAGTGGGTTATCAGGTGAAAATGTTGATAGTAGATACTATGCTGAAGGCAGAATATCAGCATTGTCCCAGTATTTTACGATGCATCACTCATTTGTAAGCATTTATTTTGAGACTGTTAAAATTTATTGTTTTCAATGACTGTTACGAATTCAAGGTTCTTGGTAAAGGAAAGAAAGAAGGAAGATAAGTGTTGTTTTGAATGATGTACCACTTAATAGTGACAGGTTTTCTGTTTGGGGAAGATTACTGTCCATTATATCAGTGTTGTGTGTTTCTACAGCCTCTTGTGAGAGAGAGTTTAGCAGAATTAGTTTAATTAAACCAAATTTAGATCAACTAGGAGCAGGCACTTTTTATGGCTTGAACTTAACTAGTATGAATGGACCATTTCTGGGTACATCCATCCTTTCAAGAGCTGTGGACCATCATTCTGAATAAAAGTCATTGACCATTACAGCAAGAGATTTTGTAGTAAATAGTATTGAACATTTAGAGGTAGCTTTTAAAATATATATACTTACAACATACCAAAACTTTATATTTTTAATGCACCAAATGAGAGAAAAGAACTTGTCAGATGCATACTTTTGATGTTTGCTGCGCAGAAAGAAGTTGTATGTTGTAATGTTGATCAACTGTTTGAACACTGAAGATAAGGAAAATGTAAGTGTTTTCTATTTTTGTCTGCAGTAACATACAGCAACTTTCTCACCTGAAGTATTTTGTTTCTTATTCTGGCTTCTAGCTTTTGGAGGTGGCCTCTAGATTTGTAGGAAGTTTGTGCGTTTCTGTTTACATAGATCGTGGCCTATATTTAAAGTGCAATACAACAAAAGTTTAAATTGAGCAGGTTAGGTTGGCAGTAATTATCTCATTTGCATTCAGAGGTACCTGCATTGAATCTTGGCCTGGAGATTGGCTGTACTGACTGAGGACTTATTGTGGTCTTCCTCAGCCTTGGACAAATTCTGGGCTATTATCTACAAATATGTTATGACTGCTATGTACATGTATTTCTCTTTCACCTTTTGCAGTTTCCCTTCCATGTCATTCTCTGCATTTTGTATAACATTTTTAAATAATGTACTAATGAAAGCACATTGGAAAATCCAAAATTTTATATCATAAGTTCTACTGTATTATATATTCAGTTGAATATAATATTTAATGATTAATTTTTCCAGAAACTTAACATGTGGTGACAGAATTAAAGTGCCTTATTAATGGAAGTTATGTCGAATGTATGTGTCCATGTGACTCTCTTAATGCACTCTTATATTTGCAGGAACTCAAAGATAAAGATGTGCTTCTTAGACAACAGCGTGAGTTACTTCAAGTGGCTCATGAGCAGAAGGTGAGTGAAGGTTTGTGTGTAAAACATACTGGATGGATAACTTAAAACAAGTTACTTCTGTTTTGTGTATTAGCACACTTCAAAATTTCATGGAATATCCCAAACTGTTTGCAGCATCACTGGAATTCTTTTGGTGTTCCCATGAGTTCCATGAATATATTTCTGTAATGGAAGGTTTAATTTTTAATCAAAATTTCTGAAAATGTTTAATTGCAAGTTAAATGAAACTTGAGTGTTTCCTACATTGGAGGTGCAGTCCAGGAAAAATTGTTGAATTGGTTCTGGTTTTTGATTCTGTTTATCAGAATCTCAGTGTGAGTTCAGAGAAGGTCCGGAGATAGGGATTAGCTCTATCTAGTGGGCCCAACTGTGTAGGAACCTGAAGACGGAGATAGAGTCCCATCTCCGAAACGTCGTTTTACGTTTTATATTTACTAGACGATGGATAATATCCAAGAAAATTTTTATTCGATTGTTTCTGTTCCTGTTAACACTTAATTGATAAGTATTATATCTTGGATTGTGCCCCCCTTTTGGAAACTTCCTTGCTGCAAAAAATGGCATGCCAGTGTAAGATGATTGCCCTGATGATGGAGGCAGCAAGGACCTCTGAAACGTTGGTAAACTTCTACCAGACAACATGGCACAACAACCCAGCAGACAGCCATCTTAAGACTCACCACCACGAAAACCTGAAATCCTACAACAGTTATAAATGTTTTGAAAATTAATGCAGGTCTTTTAAATGACAGTGTTTTTCTTCATTATCTATATTGGGATATTGGAAGGTCCTTATTATTTCATATAAAGTTGAGAAGTACAAAAGTAGAACAAAAACAATTATGGACTTTTTTAATGTAAGGTATTTTTCTTTATGTTGTAGTCTTTTCTGGAAGAGAACCTGGCTGAAAAAGATGCTGTTCTTGTGAGAAGGCAGACCTCTTTGCAGAAGCTTTCAGAAGAATTTTTGAAAGGAAATGAGATAATTAAAACACTCCAAAAGGATACTGCCATGTTGAAATCAAAAGTATGTATTGATTGAGATTAGAAGACAAACATTCTATAAAATTCTGTTGTAATTTTAGAAGTATGTAAGTGAATCCAAACGTGATTGCTGAAGATCTATACCATATTTTCAGGTCTTTGTCATGAATGGTTAAGATATCAATTGAATTTTTTTTATTGTGGTTTAGATTTTATTGCCATCAGGTCAAAATTATGTGAATGAATTTGCATCCATTGGTTTGCAATAATGAAGGGTGCATATGCAGTTTGCAACTGTGATTGGGAGACTTCAACATATTCAATTACATTTTCATATATATATTCAACAATTTTTATGTGGCTATCTGTTGTCATAATGAACTTCAAAGGGCTATCCCAACCTTTAGGATTCCCCCCTTCTTTCCTTGCATGAAGTGTGTAACGTGATTGTATAGTGAGGAGGTAATTTCTACCCATCATACTGTAATTTCCAAAACTGCGGTCTAAATTTTGATTAAATGTAGTATTGGGTGTCTGCAGTAAAAATTGTTGTGTAAGTTTGTTTTTTTGATTAGTGGTCTAGTAATACCCATATTTTGCATGAAACTCAGTATCAAATTTTAAAATAGTAACTTTTATGAAATACTGTTTTTTTGATGGAAAACATAGTGATCATATTCAAAACATTTTTATGTTATATATATTATGTCTCTGGTGCACTATTTCTTCTGTTCATTAACTCTGTCAGTAATTGATGTGGTAACAAACAGTTAAACCTATAAAAGAAACAACAGAAGACCAAGAAAATTCATATAACCTAACAAAACCATTTCCAAAATAAGATCCCTAGAATAAAATCCTGACAAAAAATTTTACCACATAGGTGCATTAAGTTTGGAATGCTTTAATAATTTGCAGTGTAGTGGAGGACGGACAGGTGTTAGCCCACAGGCCAATTTGAAGAACTGTTTGTAATGCCTGTGTAGTAAAAACAGCACAGTACTGCAGATTATGTTTTCTCTCTCCCTCCCCCCACAGTTGTTCAACTTCCATGCTCCAAGGACTTGATAGTGTATGGTTATTCTGTACACAATTCATCTCCCCACCCTGACTGCTCCTCTAAATCATCTTGTGCCGCACATATTATGAAAGATGTTACGATTTCTTTACTGCTGTACATTATTAATTGTTTGCATAAGTTTTAAATATAGTGGTACATTAAGTTTCAAATATGTTAAGAAGTTTAATTAAAATTATTGAACCAGGTGCTGATGAAACCTGGTTAACAGAAAATTATGATTCATGCTAGTAATATGTGTTTGTGGTCTATGCAGATCAGGCTTAGAACCAAAATTATATTGGAGCAAGAAGGTGTGTTATCTTCAAAAGAGAAAGAAAGAATTGCTCTTCTTGCACTGGTAGAAGACCAACGAAGAAAGATTGAACACTTGGAATCTGTAGAGCAGCAACTGTCAGAGTCGCTCAAGGTTGAAACTGCTAAGGTTGCGGAGAAGGAAGCAATTCTGAGCAATAATACAAATTGTAAGTTGAACCCAGCAATGGTTTCATATTAGCATTCAGTAGACATCCACGTCCATACTGTGACATCGCATCCTGCTCCACCAGGTTTGTGTTGCCACCCTTAAAATTCTGAAAGTCTCATATTTTCAGGATGATTATAACTGCTGTTTCACAAAAATATTTATGTCTTTATACAGAATACAGACAAGTTTTGCAGTGTAAATAAACTTGTCTAAGTAGTTCAAACTGTTATTAACACATCACTCATGTACTGTTAACTACTTTCTTGCTTATCACATTTCATTTCAAGACAGCTTATGTTTTGGCTGTAGCATTAGTTAAATTTATAAGACTTTTATGATTGGCTTGTAAGAATACAAGGGGGGAGAGAGAAAAGAAAGGGAATTAGGCACCAAATGAATAAAATATTGCTTACAAGAAAGAAGACACATTAATCCTTTAAAGCCAAATGGTAACTATATGTCCCACCTGCTTCAACAACCAAATTTCATTTTGTATTTATTGGTTTCATATGATTCTCAATTTAAACATCATCAAACAGTTATATTGCAGGTTTGAAGGGATTAAATATATTTAGGTTAGGCTTGTCTCTCAAAATTGCTGGTTCTTTTGATGCTGGATGTGAAGTTAAAGACAATGGAACATTTTCCGATGAAATCTAAGTTGAAACCTGTTGGTGACTACAATACCATTTGGATGTAGGTAGCATCTGCTGTTTTACTGGTACCCAGTAAGTTGATGATTCAAGATACATTAATATAAAGTATGTCATAGAAATTTCAACATTCATAACAAATGGGAGAGAGGAAGAAATCATGCTTTTCCTTTAGTAAAACATTTACACTGTTAAATATTACAAAGTGTTTTATCACAAATAATTTCAGGGATGGCTGAAAGTAAGGATTAGATGAGTTATTTGCACATGCTTACTTTCTTTCTTATTTATTGCTGCAGACCCATACTCACTAATGATGATATAATTTCTCCATTTTTCTTTGTGTGTGTGTCTGTTGTAGTAATTAATTGGCTGAATAGGCGTGTCAGTGAGCTGCAAACTGCTTCTCAAGTGCAGTCAACTTCAAGGCTTCCTCCAAAAGGTGCTGGCATGACAACTTCAACACCTCATATGGGTTTGACTTTGGGTTCGCATAGGACATTTGAGGTACATTCTTGATTTTAATTACCATGTTGATAGGAAATCAGACTGTTGAAACAAATTGTACAAATTTTTAAACCCTTCAATTATTTTGGATATCATGTTCTGAGAAGTCAGAATTAGTATATGTGTGGTTAAGACCTCTGTATGCAATGAAGAAAAGCTTGGAAGCTGGTGTGCCATTGCAGTGAACTCGGCAAAATTTGGAAATTTGCCTTCAAAATGGATTTGCTGTAATGAAAATAAAGAAAAATTTATTTTTGAAAACATTTTAATTGTTGGATTTGAGGTTTTCACAGCAGTGAGTCTGAAGATAGCAATCTTCATTTTAATTGTTTTCATTCATATAACTAAAATTACTGTATATATGCACATACAAGTCACTTTTTGTTCCAAAATTTCATTTTAAAAATAAGATGTGCAGTTCAGTCCATTTTAATTTGTGAAACATTCAAGATAGAAACATACACCCTTTTAGTGCACTTCACTCAACTAATTTTTCTAACCATGCTGCAGCCAGAAATTTTTACAGAAAATTAAAAAGCACCAAACTGCACCCTAATGTCTGTGTGTGTGCATACGCATTAATATTGCTTTTTTCCTTACAGTTTAGACCATTGATGGAACCTGAAGTACCACGATCTAGAACTCCTGGAATAGCAATATGTCCCCAGTAAGTTCTTACTGTATTTTACAGTATATCTATCCAGTTGGAGTTATTTTACTAAAAATAAATATGCTTCATCATGAATTATACTTCCTTGAAGGTAAACTACTGTCTACATCAAGAGCCATTGAAGTGAAAAAAATATTTTGATATAATTCTTAATGTAACTTATTCTCTTTAATAAAAGAATTGAACATTTCTCAACAAATTTCAGTGAAATTAAACAAAATTCTTACCGTTTGTCACATTCATTTCTCAGACCCTGTAATTATATTTTTCACTTACTAATTTTTAGGGGTAGTGAACAAAATTTAATGAAAATAAAATACCAATACTGTCTGTATCTAATAAAAACAAGACCTGGAGAGTTTCTTATATAATGGTGACAATAATGGTATCATAAGTGAAAGACTGGGGTAGACATACTGTGTGTTCTTGCATATGCACGTGTGTATAAAATGTGTCCTATGTTATTTTATATGCATTTTTTGATATAGTGTCAAAAATGGGTAGAAGTACATTAACAAACTGCCTTACATTCTGAAATGTGAAAGTTATGGTGAAATATTTTTGTGATTTTTCCTTTCTCATTTTATGTACTGAAAATGCAAACTCTTATTGCAGGACTGAGAAAACAGGAGCTCCTAGAAACTTTGCGGCAGCAGCTACCTTATCTGATCCTGGTGTCCTAAGTACAAGTGCACCTTGCCAAAATCCTAGTGCAGAGAGCTTGCAGGCTGGATCTTCTGAAGTGACACAAACAAGGAGTCAGCCAAGGACAAAGACTTTCAACCCTTCTTCCTATTTCCCAAAAGGTTATTCTAAGTTAGTTTCATTGAGATAATATTTTATGTACAGTAGATTTGTTAAAATTATTGTCATGGGACCAAGACATCTTGTTGATTTGATATATGTAAATTCAAATGTATAACTTAATGGATAATTTTTATTACACATTGTACATAATTCAGAAGTCAGTATAGTGACTAGCTACGGGCTGGACGACCGGGGTTCGATCCCCGACGGAGGCAGAGGATTTTTCCTCTAGCATCTGCATCCAGACCGGCTCTGGGGCCCACCCAGCCTCCTCTACAATGGGTACCGGGGTCCTTTCCCGGGGGTAAAGCCGGCCGGGGCGTGATGCTGACCACTCACCCCCATCTAGTGCCGAGGTCAAGAAAGAGAGAAGCTATACCTCCATTCACCCCAAGTGCCTGTATGGCACGTAGCGGGACAAACTTTACTTTACTTTACATAATTCAGATGCAATTACAAAGTTTGTGAAATAAATCTGTTTTTACAGAATAAAATTATTTTTAAATTACTCACAGTTTACTGTTAAAATTATTAAAAGATGTTAGACCTGAACAATTTTTAAAGGGAAATATATATTTCACATGAACTGTAGAGCTGTGATAATTTACTGGTTGTTAAGCACATTGGTAAGTTGTTGTGTAATAAGTGATTTATTTGATTTTATCTTCATTTGTATGATCCTTAACTTTAAGTCTCCGATTTTCAAATTTGTTCATTTTTGCACCTTTTTATTATGGATACACTGGAATTCCCTGAAGGGTGATGTTAAATTTTAACTGACTCTAAATTATGGGGAGATAAAGAGTGAAGAAAATGGTAATAAAAAGGAGAGGGAGAAGATTATCCATTTGAAGCTAAAGCATGCCTAATTAATACTTAAAGAGTTCAATCCCTATCACAAAGAAAACATATCTCTATTACAGAGATTAGCTGCTTAATGCTTTTCAAGGAAATAATCCCTTTTTACACTGGGAATCAAGAAAATTTGTCAAGGATTACAAAATGTGTGTCAAATTCTCAACCATCCAATTTTTAGATTCAAAAAATTCTGGCCATGTCATGGTTCAGGTAACGGTAATTCACTCCAGGATTCTTAATCTGGGTTTATATTCATTTGAGTTAGCATTCAGTTAACTAGAATATATTCCAGTTGGATGTAAGTACCTAGAAAGTGTTCATAGTCATAGGGAAATGTGTGCTCAGATTTCAGCTCGGAGCAGTGAGCAGGTTAGATGCAGCATTTGAAGTATTCAGTGCAAACAATTAGAATTGTATTTACATTGTGGTGTTTGAGTTGTTAGTTATTACTTTTAAAGTCGTAAACCACTTTAAAGTTTTTTATAATTCATTAGCCCAAATGTGGTTTCACTTCATTTGCTACATCTTTAAACACTATCAAGTTAGTTCTTCCCACTTCAGTCACTGCATCCATAAATTTTAACAAGAATCCTGTTTTGTATTTCACACACTTTATATTTTTCACTTCTGACAATATAAGCATTTTGATTGCATTTCGGTAGTACCCACCAATGAATGCAATTTGAGCACTGCATTCAAGGAACTGGATTATTTGTCTCTGGATGGTTACAGGAATGATCAAAATATTAGTGAGCTACAATTACAAAGATGGCTGTCTTCTGGGTTATAGTCAGGTAGAAGTTTGGGTGCCGGCAGCAGTGGCCACGCAGTCTGAGGCATGGACCTCCTGCACCTGGCCACTGGAACCATGGGTTCGAGTCCCACTCAAGGCATGGATGTTTGTCCGTGTCCTTTCTCTTCCAGTCTGATGGATAAAGACTGGCCACGGAAGGCAAGGCGAAACCACCGTGGTACTTTTGCAAGAAAACCCCGATGGGATCACAATGGTCAAAGCTGACCATAGAGATGAAGAAAAAAAAATTAGTTTGGGTAGGATTTGAGGTTTTCATAGCAGCGAAGATGGCTGACTTCTGGTTGTAGCGCCGTGTAGTCTGGTAGAAGTTTACCAACGTTTTAGAGGTCCATGCTGCCGCCATCTTCAGTTGATGGATTTGGTATTATGTGTAAGTTTGACTAAGAGAGGGGTGGAAATAGTTATCGGTGTTACCGACTGGTCGCCAGAGCGTTCTTACAGTAGTTTTACAATTTGCTGATAGAAGGCAGTATAATATATACGTGCCGTCATAGGCCACGTTTGTTGTCTACTTCTAAGAGTTTCCGATCTGTATGTTGGTATTTCGTGCATGCAATCGATGCTGAAGATTCGAGTAGTTTATATAGTGTGATTTGTTTGCTTTCGATTTTACTCGTTACATTCTAAAGATGACATCAAATTATTTCCCATTGACATTTATTCGTGTTAACATTTAATATCGCGTATCTAATGTGAGAAACATATGAGAACGTAGCCGTGGACTCGCCACGGTTACACTGTAGGTTATATTGCAGTTGCAATAATTATTGGATAGATATCATTCACAATGAGTGTTAAGGCCTTCGAACTTGTTCCAGTTATAGAAACACTTCAGTTAACGGGGGAAAAAGCACAAACCAAGGTAACTGTAATGGGTTAGAGTATTGTGAATTTACTGAAACTAGGTTAGAAATTGTAACGATTGAAGTAAGATTGTTTTGATTTAATCACGTGTCGACGGTGTATTTGAAGTCTTTGCTATTTTCCACCCCACATAATAATTTTGTCATGTGCATATTAATTGCTGTGCACATGCTGGATAATAAGTCTGGGAAGTAGACTTGTATGTGATGAAGCCATACTTCAGTAAAAGGACTGGTTGTATTTGAATAGCAGCAAAGTTCCATGTTCTATAACCCCCTCAGCAATAACAGTTCTTATTCGGCTACTGAGTAACATTACCGTTCTAATAATTACAATATATTATGTATTGGGAAAGTGTTGTGTTTACTTTGTGTGAGGATTAGATGAATGATAAAGTATGTGACAATGATGGGCATGAATTAATATTTTGTGTGATAAGTATAACGTTGGTGTCTTGAATAACTGTTCATTCCTTGAAATTATTCTTTCTGTGATAGAAGTTGGCTTGTGTTATGTTTCTTCCAAATATTTTGATGCCTATTGGCAAGTGAGTTGCAGGGATGACAGGATTCAACACAAAGTAAGCACATCATTTGTATTCAGGGTACTTTAAATGGTCAGTACTGGTAGACTTCTGATATCTGTTGTGTTACCTTCCAGATTGAATGTATAGAATGCTGTGGCAAAGACCTATATGTTGGGACAAGTGATAGGTATGGAAAGTTTTTGAACAGTAATGTTATTATATCTTCATTTGTAGCATAAGTATCTGTAATTTAGAACAAGATTTATGTCATTTTTCTCCTCATATCTGTAGAACTCTGCAAAAAAAAATAGTATGTTTACCTTAACCACTAACCAAAGTTATCATTGGGTGAGTGAATAAAGCAGGGCAGGAGCCTCAGTATTTCCATGTTTAAATACATTGCATTGGCTATTTTCATGCTGCTATTCAGTAAATGCAATAAGGTCTACATGTCATGGACACTGTTTGTTGTACATCTCTGCTGAACAGTTCAACTTCCTTTTCTGCAACTGTTTCTCATGATAGCTGGAAAAGAAGTGGAGATACACATGTTGTGGAGCAGAATTGGACAAGTAATTGCATCTACAGTTGTGCAGGATCCCTGTTTGGGATCAACATTACACTATGTCAGTCATGCATACTGGGTTCCAAATCAGGTGTCATTTCACAAGTAGGCATAATATTAACTTCAAACCTGCCTAATATCCCTTTTCCCTAAAATTGAATTTTTATTTCATATGAAGTTACTAATACCAACATAAACCATTATAACATAGTTAATATAAGTGGTTACAGTATCATAAATACTATATTTTCTTGATTTAAGATAGAATAATTTTAAATTTTCTGATATCGTGCTGCATCTTGCATTTGTTGGCATCAAAAAATTGATATAAATTTCCTGAAAACCTATTTCTAAATTAGGGGTGTCTTGCAATCACTGGCATCTTAAAATTGAATAAATACAGTAGATCTAGTTAGTCTAGATATTTTAAATAGAATATTACTACCCATTATGGAGTCTAACATTTGGAGAATGTTCCCTGTTTTTCCAAATTTGTCAAGGCCTGATAAATCATGTCTCTTCTTTCTCCATGCTGGTAAAAGTATTTTCCCTTTCTTTCCTTTATGTTGCTAAGGAGAACATTTGGATCTAAGAGGGATGAAGTGACAGGAAATTGTATGAGGAAGAGCTTTATAATTTGTAAAATGAAAATGACCAAATCAAGGAGGATCAGATGGGTTGGCCAATAGCATGCATGATGGAGATGGGAAACGTGTACAAAATTTTGATTATAAGCATGATTGAAAAAGAAAGCATTGGGTGTGGAAATGGTTTTTAGGATGCAGAAAGTATGACAATAATATTGACATTTTTGCAGTTTTCTTCTGTTGTACACGTTGGAAGAGAAGCGTGATGGAAATGGGAAAGTGGTTTACAGAAGCAGAGATATAGTACATAAGTTTCTGGATTTGGTATGTATATACAATCTACTTGCTGTGCTGTGCATATTGTAAGTGGTGTTTATGATGTTTTTCAGTAGAATTTTAGGAGTTTAATATTTCTTATACTTGAAATGCGTGTGTTTATTGATGTTAATTTAACCTTTCAGCAAGAAATGTAGGTGCTCATAACTAAAGATTATATCACAGTAATTAAAATTATGTGCTGACATTTTTTGTGTGTATAAATACATTCTTCTTTGAGGTTTATAATAAAATAATTAACGCTGAGTTACTTTTTCCCCCTCCCAGTTTTAATTAGTCATAAAATCTTGTGAAGTCACTGGCTGTTTATATTTACTTAACTGTCTGAATTTGTTTTTCAGAGAAAACCAGTTAAATGCATCAAAGCTGCCTCAGCTTTAAATCGATTACTACTTCTGTGTGATTCATGTCTACTGCTCCTTAGTATGCATGATTTGGAAATAATTGGGGGAGGGCCCAAGCTTCGTGAAATTAGTACATTTTGCGTAAATGAAAATCCAAACACCAATAATCCGTTTTGCATTCAGGTATGAATGAAAATTGAAGGCCTATAGTGTTTTTTTTCCCTCCCCCCCCCCCCTTCCCCAGAATCACATCAGTATCATTGTATTGGAGGAACAGGGGCACTTCTGTGGAGTCATGAGTTTTATAGCATCTTTTGGGCAAAAAATATGTTACTTAGCATTTGATATCTAAACGCTTTCTCTAAACTCCAAAAGGCTAAGGATGAGTAAAATCATGTTACTGATATAACAAGATCAGCAATAACAGTAATAACAGTAGTTGTTTATGTTTATTTTGTTTGTTTTATGCATATGTTATTATGACAGTTATCATGGTAATGCCTTGTGCTTACATGATTGACGATAAAGTCACCAATCTCCCTCATGTGGATAAAAGTTGTCATCACTTTGGAGTGTGTGTAGTCCTTTATGATTGCTAGGTGTCCTTTGCATGATGTACATGAAATTATTGCATATAGGGCTGATCATGTCTGTCCATCTGTTTGCATGAAACAATTCAAAAACCTAGGTTTAATGGATTTTGATGAGATTTATATGTCATGGGTGTTTTGCCATTGATGGATGCTGTAAACTTATTAATTTCTTACAGTTGGTAACACCTTCATATCAGATGCATTAACTTAAGAGTTAAGAACAACAGTAGTGCCACTTAATACAGGGTCATACAATGATGTATTGTAATAGATGTATGAAAAATACTACTTTGTTCATGTTAACTCTTGTACACTCTGTGTAACAAAAATCAAGGACTTAAAATTTTCTAAATCAAAAACTGAAACTAATGTTAGCATACAGCTGACATCATAATTGAGATCATTCATAATTCCTTTGTATTTATCTGTATGTGGCTTTTCTGTACCTTTTGTTAATTAGTTACTTATGTCAGATTTGTATAAAGCTTAATTTAAAGAAAAACATGTCGTAATGTTAATGAAATTTTTTTGACCCGGTCCCATGACAAACCAGAGGTGAAAACTATATATACTTCAGTTGGCCATCCATATTTACTGGTATAAAAGTTATAGGGTTAGAGACTAATGTTGTTGATGTAAGACATGCAAGTTTGAGCTATGGCAGTAGCATTTTTTAATACATGTACAAATACTGAAGTCTCCGTAGCCAGCTTATAGTAAACATGCTTGCCCGTTACTACATGTTTTAGGCTGGTTTCTGTATCACAAACTGTTTCGTGGTTGTTGTTAATGAGTGTTCAATAATTCTGTGTGCTGACTGTTTTTTGTTCTGATAATGATAATGAGCAAAGGAAGGGTATCATATTTACAGCAAATTACTTTTTCTAAATTGTCTTTGAGTGAAAGAAGTTATGTAAACAATCATGGCCGCCCTTGTCCCGAACTTACAAATAGTTAAAACATTGTCGAGCACGTATGGGTTTTCTCCTGATGTAAATTTACTTTTCATTTATTTATATTGTTATGTGTTGAAAAACTATTCTGAGTTTTCCCCCTTGCGCAGCACTACCACTGCTCAGACTCACGAGCCGCCACTGATCACATCACTTTCCTTATCAAATATGAAAAGGTGTCTGATATAATTTTGTATTGAAGTATCAAGTTCTTGTTTTTCTATGCTGCTTTATTTGCATATTCTTCCTTGGGCATAAGTATTTATACAATTTTCTTTTGTTTCCACTGCCACTTACAGATTTGTGTTGCTCGGCAGAGACAGCTTCGGGTGTATGATGTTACTGTCGAGAAGCTGATTCCAGTCAAAAATATTGGATTGCCCGAACCAGCATGTGGTGTTGCAGTTGACGGCTCTCACATCTGTGCTGCTTTACTGACACATTATAGTGTGTACAACTTTGACACTAACTTCACACAACAACTCTTTACTTATGGCCGTGAAAATTTCCTCCCACTCATCCGCAGGATTACTAAGGTTTGTTTGCAGTCAGATTGCAAATTTTAATATCCTACTTATAGTAACGACCAGATTGAAAATACGTAGCATTTCCTTTCCAGGAAGAATTTCTGTTGAGTGCACCTGGAGGTCTGGGAATGTTTGTGAATTCAGAGGGTATGTCCAGCAGACCACCCATTCAGTGGTCCTATCCTCTGCGTGCTCTTACATACTCACATCCCTACATTCTGGGCCTTAGTGATGATGTCATCATTGTGTACAGGTACTTATTAAAGGAGATAGAGGATGACAAGAGGAGGAGATGGCATATGTGGAGTCCCACTAATCCCCATACAGTGCATTCTCCTGATTATCAATGGAGGGGCCCACCTTATATAGTGGAGGGTTGATTCAAATATAGAATAATGACCCATGGACCAACAGGGGACTCAGTTACCAGGGATTAAAATTGCTTTGACACCTTTTGTTCATGGGTCATAAATGTGAAGGGATCGTAATACAATAGATTAGATCCTTGAGTCCTGTAAGACAACCAGTCTAAGGGAAGGATACCCTAAATAAAAACCTGGTCCTCATGGAAGAGGGTTTTGTGAGAGGCTTGTAACCTCTCCATAGAAGACATAAATTACTCAAAAAATCAAAAACAAAACAACAGTTTGCATTGAAGCCAAATGTGACCGAAGGGTCTAATCCATGAAAATGATGGTGATGAATTTAGAGGGAGATTTAAATTTAAATAAGCTGTGTGAAGTTGATGAGGTCTCCCTGTGGCTTGAAGTATTTTTGGGCAAGTTTACACAGATTTAAACCATTCAGCTTCTCATGAAACTGCTGTATCTTAAAAAATTTGCAAAAATTGTGTAGCAGATTAAGATGTTACAAACCTATTTTCTAATCTTGTTATCTGTTTTGTTAGCCATTGTTCCAAACTGTCACCAATGTTACATGCTATAGAGGAAATGTGGTTGCTGTTTGCACAACTAGAAATATGTACAGATTGGTTTCATATGTTAACAAAATATTACTGTGCACAGTACAGGATGTGCACATGACCTGTATACTATTTTACTGAAAAAAGCTCATGAAGTAAAAGGCACAGGATTGAAAACTAAACACATATCAGCAACTTTTTTGATTAAGTTTTTGTGACCTGCAATTTACAGAAGTTCAGTGAGGGCACTGTCTTGAAGAAAGAACAAAATATATGGCAAACTTGGACAGTAAGGTAGGCCGCACACCGGCATGCGTCAAGACATGTAACAGTCAAGACACGATGTCTGCGACATGACGCAAAGAAAGGAGCACAGTTGAAACGAATGAGATTATGAAAACCGCCGCACACCGGTCTGAGTCATGATGCTGACGTCAGCTTCATGCTGCAGACACGTGCAGCGAGACTCGGCATGTTCCTTTTCTGTGCGTCAGGACTGAGACATCAGTACTCAAGTAACAGCACCAGTGTATGTTATTGACATGAGTGAAGAGTAAACAAATATTAAGATAGTGCAGATGGTTGAGAAATTCCCGGTAATATACGTTATTCGACCCCTGGCCACTCAAACAAGGAGGAGGTTGATAAAGCTTGGCATGCAGTTTCAAAAGAAGTAAACATAGATGGTAAGTGCACTGATTAATTTTATTTTAATGAGCTAATGACTGAATTAACTATTATACACATTGAGCTTAATCTCGTTTCTTACAAGTCTGCTCTCACTCACACATTAAACGAAAAGATTTATGTTAAAGTGTACTTGTTCTGCCAATGAAGAGCTACATTTGGTTTCAAAAAGTAAGAACAGAAATGGATTCTGGGGACATTCGATAATAAGACTGGAATTTCACCGGATCATTTAATAAGTCGCATGCTAAAACATACACACCATGTTGAGCACACAACTCACATGAATCCACTTCCTTTTCCTTCCTTTACGTACTTTCAGCCACATGTACATTAAAATATCTTCCTCACTGGATGACGTCATGTCATCAACTAGAGAAGATGTGATAAGACGCAGACACGTGTGCGGACTCGAGTCTGAATCACGAATGAAGCAAGAATGCGTCTTTTGGCTCATGTCTTGATGCTTGTCTTGACGCAGTTAGTGTGCGGCCGCCCTTATGGTGCACTGTTTTTGTGGCATGTTCTAGTCAGGCACTATATGCCTGGTTGATTTTTGTGGACTGTGAATGAAAGCCTCACAAATTGTATCAACCTAAGCTTCAGTGACTGGTCATCTGCCAGTTGGCGTTTCTTTATAAATGATGAAACAATTTATACCTCGTATATCAACATCTTGTCTGCAGTTCCCTTCTAAACACCATATGAAATTTCCTTTGTACTATAAGTGCTGACCTATGCTAATGAAACTACAGCATGCATTTAGCTTTTTTTCTACTTCAGATGCCATTTTAAGAATTGTGAGTGCAACACTTCAGAAGGAAAGAATTGGAAACTTAAGTAGCACTTTCTCTCCAAACTAAAATTTCATATCAGGGCTCAGTTTTGCCTGTACTAAGGGTACTAAAACTTACTTCAAGTGCTAAAAAAGTGTTAGATTAATGTGTGTTTTACATGGTCATTAAGATTGTCCATTATGATATGGACATTAACATATGTCTCTGTCCAAATATTCTGTTAGATTGCTGCTTATAATTCACAAATGCTGGCAGCACCATGGTAACTACTGGCTTTCACCAAACAGCAAGAGATTTGAATCCTACAATAAAATTTCACAATTTTGCAGTTGAGAACTCTGCCAAGAAAAATAATGTAACAGCATTACAAAATATTAAATAATTTTAGAATTTATGTCATAAGTTTTTTTGTGCTTGTATATTCTAAGTTTATTTCTGTAGCCTTGGCTTCACTAATGCTAGTACTTTATCCTGCTGTGTTACCTTCATTGTGGTGGGCATTGTTCTTGTGCTAATAGCATCTTGGACCAGCAGCAGAAGCAGGCTCTACCATTCGTTGGTGGGAGGAGCATTGGCAACTTCGATGGTCGTATTTATGTGACTTCTGGAACAGCTGTGTATAATCTGACACCAGTGCCATGGGAGAAACAAGTTGAGGTAAGATAATGGTCAGCATATTTTGGGGGGAAATGTTGGATAAGGAAGCATCAGTGTAGGTTTTCATCTGTCATTTCAGGGAGGTTGACCACAGCCTTTTCCTTGCAAATCCTGAATCCAAACTTTATAAAATAATTTTTTTCACTACATGATGCCATGTTCTACTTGCATGCAAAACCAGTGAATAATGCAGGATGCCTATTCTAAGCTTGCCATATCAAGTGATCATAAGACAAGTAGTTAAATATCTTTCTTCAGTAGACACATCTGCAATTTACATAAAATCTTGACTGTGTTATATAAGGCTGTTTGTGTAACCTATGTTTCAATCACCTTACTAAATATATGTTGATTTTATTAGCTTACCTTCATGCATTCATGGATCCTAGATCAGGATGTTGAGCAAGTTATACAGAAACAAAAAATAAAAATAGAAGGAAAAAACAATATTGCAAAAACAGAAGCAACACACAATACAAAAGAAGCACAGTAAACTAGTATTTGGCATATACTTATTATAAATACAATTACAAAAGTCTGATACATTTAATTTACACTTACATTTATGTTGCACGTAATTAAAAATTCTGTACAGTAGGGCACCGCATATACGTCAGGTTAGGGACCAGACCCTCGCAGAAAAGCGAAAATCGCCAAAAAGCGGATCTTTGCCTTTTTTCAATTGCAAATGCATATCAAAGCCTAATAAGATGTTTACACTATCATATAGTAAGTGCACAATAGTGCTTGGCCTAAGAAAACAATATGAAAGTAAAATGAATATCAGTAGTACACACATTGCTTACCTTAAAATATTTTCGTCTTCAGCTTATAGTGATTGGTGAATATAAATTTGAAAATTAATATGTTTATAGTAGGAAGGATGAAGGAGATGGCAGATCTTCATCATCTGACTCTTCAATGAATCTTATTCGTTTCGGTGATGGTTCGGAAGCTCTTGCAGGGGTTGGTGGGACGCACTTCTCTGACTCAGCTGTTGAGCACGTGGGGCATATGCACGCAATTGAAAAGCGCCGTATTAGCGGATCACTGAAAAGCGGGGCCCTACTGTATAGTTATTTCACAATAATTTTGAAATATGGCTATTTTACAATGAGTATGAAATTCTGTTAACCATTAACAGTTAGTAATTAATGTCAGATTTATAAATTCATCAAAAGGAATTCTTTTATTGCTAATTGAAATTGTCTTCCATTAGTAGACAGATTTTTGATTCTTATTGTTCTGTTAGTTTTGTAACAGATAGTAATTCCATGAAATGAGTAGAACATTCATGTTACAGAGAATTAAGCCACTTAATTATTAATGCTGTTGGGTTTTTATAGTACTATATAGTATCTTATAGTCAAAATGGCTAGTAGTACTGCATCTGTTATGTAATAATACTAATTTATTTTTAGGCGTTGCTTACAGATGCCAGAGTGGAAGAAGCTTTGGAATTAGCACAGAATGCAAATCGAATGGGTATGACAAAGGAACAGTTCCAGAAGATCTTCCATAAAATCCAACAGCAGGCAGCTTTCATCTATTTTTCAAATGGTGAATTTGATAAAGCTAGGGAACTGTTTGGCAGTGGTGATGTTGATCCCAGGGAAGTAATCTCCGTATTCCCAGGACTTATGCCACCATCTTCAACATTTGTTAGGACTGTTCCACCTCTTCATGGCATTGCTGATGTCAACCAGCTATTTAATGGCAATGAAGAGAAGCTTAGTGAAGTGAAGCAGTTCCTGCGTCATTTTTTAGAGGACCATCGTGAAACTGCATCATTCCAACATTCTTTGGTATGGCCATTGGCAGTTTATTGACTTTAAAATAGGACAGCTATCTTCACACTTACCACTGTAACAGTCTCAAGTCTCATTTAGAGAAACAGAATCTTTTTAAACCTACACACAAGCTGTTTTACCCAGCTTCCTATCTAGTGTGTACCGGGGTTTTTTCCCAGGGGTAAAGCGCTGCTAGGATGTGATGCTGACCTCTCACCCCCATCTAGTGCCAAGGTCAAGTATGAGATGAGTAGGAGCTATACCCTCTGTCCCCCCAAGCGCCTACATGGCGTATAGTGGGACAGCTTTTACACAAGCTGTTTTAGTTACAAAGAAAATTTACAGAAGGCACTTTGCTAGAAGCTTACTAATTTATATTTATGTATTGAAATGTGATTAGTGAATTAGCCAGGTAGCTCAGTCAGTATAGTGACTGGATGACCAAGGTTAAATCCCCGATGGGGGCAGAGAATTTCTCCTCTAGCCTCTGCGTCCAGACCAGCTTTGGGGCCCACCCAGCCTCTTCCTGGATGTAAAGTGCAGCCGTGACATGACGCTGACCACTCACCCCTGTCTAGTGCCTAGGTTAAAAATGAGTAGGAGCTATACCTCCTTTTCCCCAAGCTCCAGCATGGCATATATCACGACAGTTTTACTTTACTTGTAATGTGATAAGTTATGTGAAAAATAAAGTTTTCTGTAATGTAAGAAAAAATTACCGTAAAAGCTCCTGTTTTTCAAACCTATTTTCACTCAGTGCACCATTAAACACTTCAGCTTGTAGGCCTCAAGGAATTGTGCTAACATTTACACCTACAGCATTTTTCCTACTTGTTTCAGGAAGTGGACACAGCATTATTGAAGTTATATGCTGAGACATATGCTCCAGAACTAGAAGCATTTATTGTAGCTGGTGAAATTGCCTGTGATGTAAAGGACTGCTGTGATTGGCTGGAGAAGAGAAAATGCTATCATGCTCTGGCATTGCTGCACCGACATGCAAATGACCATGATGAAGCCCTCAAGGTTTGGGCCAGGATCATCTCTGGGGAGTACAAAGATGATAGCTTTCATGGCCTAGAGTTCTTTGTTGAATGTTTAGCAAAGTATGTATGAACAGACTTTTCACTAATGCATGAAGTAAAACCTTTTTACATATATTAGAGAGACGGTCATTTTACTGATATGTTGCCTTAGTGACCAAATCTGTTTAGTACCTTGGGGAATTTAATATTTTTATGACCTTATCAAAATAAGAAGTTTTATAATTTTCCCCTTTTCATTCTGCCATGTATTTGGGAGGTTCCTAGTTGAATTGTTGGTCAAGGATCAATTACTTGATGCAAAGACAGTACTTTTAAATAGGCCATGGCTGCTTCATCCCTTTTCCTATATCCTTTAGCATATATGACCTCATCTCATTCAATATTAAGTAACAGCATTGCTAAATTATAGGCCTATCGAAATAAACATCATCTGTTGTGATTTTGAGAAACAGTTATGGTTGCCTGAATTGTGTCTAAAAGTCCTTGACTTTGCTTGCCAAGATCAGCTTCAAGCAATTTGTTTGAATTGTGCTCTAGTGCTCTAACATTTGTTCCAACCTTGAGCCACCTTATATAACTTTCATCTACACTTTTTCCTCCTATTAATTTCAAGTTTTTTGAATCAATCTCATTAACATGTAAAGCAAAGAAGTTATCTGAAATGTTAGGCTTGTGCTTGAAATTGATGCCCAAGGGAATCTTCACAGTTTTGTTCATAGTCACAGTATTCTTAGAAATGTAATTTTAAGATACTCTGTATTTGCAGAGCTGAAATTAGAGATCTAGCTTCATACTAAATTTTTCCTTCAGTTTGAAGGAGCCTGAGTTGATGTGGAGGTATGCAGATTTTGTCTTAAGCCATGATCAAGAAGTTGGTGTGGGAATATTTACACTACGATCAACACAGGATGTGAATTTAGATACAGTGAAGCCTGATATGGTTGTAGACTATCTCCACCAGTATCCGAAGGCGGTTGTAAAATACCTTGAACATCTAGTAATGAAACAAAAAATACAGGTATGTGTTTCATAATATTGACGCTGAAAGTAATCTTCTGTTTAAAATTATAGTTTGTTTAGAAAACATAATTTGTGTTCCAGGCAGAGAAGTTTCATACACATCTAGCAGTGCTATATCTAGAAGATATTTTAAAGAAGCGAAAAGAAGGCAATGAAGAGGCAGTAATGGAGGTGAGGACAAAACTCCGTCACTTGCTGCAGGTATCTAGTCTGTATCGTGTTCAGCTGCTGCTTGGCAAGATGAATGATGCTGATCTACACGAAGAAGCAGCCATTCTATATGGAAAGGTAAATTTAACACATGATATTCCAAATTAGTATTCCTCCGTTTCAGATTAACCCTTTCATTGCTTTGACAAAACATTTGCCAATGTTGTACGTGGCTTGTTACGTCACAGAGGCTTTGTGAACAAAGTGCTAAAGAGATATATTTCAGCGCATCTCTCTGGTCTTGAGCCCTGGCTGTGTATCCCTAGACAAATTTTTTCACAACCAATTTGTCAAGGCTCCTTTGAAATATGGAAGGGTGATAATTGTTTATGAGACTGCTCTAGCCTTGAAAATGAACAGCCTGCTAAAGCTTATCAGATTTTTGTCTGCACTTAATTTCATTTTGACAGATAGAAGATCATGTGAAAGCTCTGGACATACTGGTGCACAATCTGAAGGACTTCAGAGGAGCAGAAATGTACTGTGTCAATAATACTGAAGGCAAAGGACTCAAATACAAGCACAACCTCTTCCACACACTGCTTGCTGTATACCTGGATCCAAAATTGGAGTAAGCTCATATTGTCAAAGATTATTAAAGCCACTTTAAGCATCTCATCAGTCAATATCCAAAACCACTCATAAAAGTTAATGGAAGCAAGCATATGAAATACTTGTCAGTGATTTATCAGACTAAATATATACCTGTAACAGTTGAGTGACAGAGATATTTTGTTTGTAGAGAGTTCTCAGAATTGGAAATCTATAAATTATTTGGCTTTCTAGGAGCCAGAAAGATAGGTCATAGTGAGGACACAACAATTAGATAGGAGGGCTTAATTGACATTTCTTTATTTTCAGACCTGGTAAGAAAGAGGAATACTTGCTGCCAGCTCTTGAGTTACTGAATGCTCATTCAGGAGATTTTGATGCAGCTAAGGTACTGGAAATTATCCCATCAAACTGGTCAGTTTCTGTGGTGGAGGTATTTCTCCGTGGAGCTCTTCGCACGTCTCTTCATAAGGTTAGTTAGTATTCTTAATGGTTTGCCATGTAGGAAAATGCTGGTAAATAATTCTGAAGCTGTATCTTAGTAGTGGTATTGTCAATGATCCAGTTGCTTACATTTGATTTTTTATGCTTAGTTCTGTGTTAAAAATCGATCTTAGTCTTCTTACATGTCCCTTCAACTTTTCTTTCTCATTTCTAAGAAATTTTAGCAAAAAGGTCACTAATAAAATAATTATTATCATTGTTATGATTTTTGTAATGATAAGCTTAATAAGCTAATTCACAAATTACCTCTGATCACTGATTTCAGTATCGAATTACCAAGGTAGAAAGTGCACTTGCACGAGGGGAAAATTTACAAAACAGATTTGCACTGTATGATCTACAACGTCGGTCCATCTCTCTGCATGAAACCAAGTAAGTTGCACCCATCTTTATAATGAATGGAACATGTTTTTGTTTTGTTTGAGTGTTTTTATTAGTACTTAAATGAGTACTCTTCATCTAGTTGCCATAAAAGGGCTAATTTCTGTTATTAGATTAAGTCCCTACTATAAAAATTAGTTATGAAGGGCAATTTATTGTTCTAGTATTAGTTACAGTGTTGTATAATAGTGACTGTCTTGTGATTTTTCACTGTTATATAACTTTTTATATTATAAATTCAGTATGGTATATTTTATTTGGTAGGTAATAAAACCACATGTCCTAAGTGCCTTGGTTTCTTTTATACTCCATATCATTTGTGTCTTATAGTTATGTGGATTTTACATTGTAGTTTTCATTCAGAGTTCATCAAATGGTGATAGTAAATTATATTTTCTGAATATAAAATAAGGTAATTTTCAGTAAGGCGTATTTGTGTCTAATATCAACTGATCTGTTGCGGAAGTGTAGAACAGAATGTAATAAAAGCACAAGAATTTTAAAAACATAAAATATTTATGCACAAATTTCATATAATGCAAAAGTTGCAATTATACCACTGGAGCTGTCCAGTACTGGTGGTGCTGAAAACTGTGAAGATGATTTAGCTGTATGTGAAATTGAAACTTCTTGTGAGATTTGAGGTTTTTACAGCAGTAAAGATGATATTCTTCTCAGTTTTGGCTCCAGTATACTTGTCAGTAGATGTCATAGTTATGGGGAACCACATTGTCTCCATCTTTAGGACTTCTTGATTACTGCAGCCTCATTACAAGTAGTATTCTTAGTAATTCCACTGGGCACCAGTAGATTGTAGGATTTATGTTATACTTGTTGATTTACACTACAGTTCTCCGGCCTTTTATGGATATGTGTTGCTGTGTATAAAATGATATTGCAGGTATGCTTAATTGTTGGTCAGGATTTTCAAGATACTAAGTAATGACTTGTTTTTTTACAGCTACTGTTGTGTGTGCAAGAAGCCATTCTCAGATGGGAGTTTTGCTCGATATCCCAACAATGTTCTGACACATGTTGCTTGTGTAAGACATAACAGTATATGTCCATTAACTGGAAAGAATTTCAAAAGTTTGGCATCCTTGTATTCAGGGAGGTAACATCAATGCCAAGATTAGTTGTAAGTCACTATGAAATAAAAGAGAAATAACAGTAATACTTCCCCATGATGAGCCTTCCCAAGTTGTAGTCCTACTTACAACATAAATAAGTTTCTGTTGTAACCTAGTATTTATGTTACCAAAAATATACTTAAGGGTTTTAAAATAATTTTGTTACAGTGGCTGGAAAATGAACTATCTAGTTTTGTTGAAAAATAAATCAGGACAACAGTTGATTATGGCATTTATTAGTTCCATTCAAAGTTAACACAGTTCTGAATTTTTTACATTAACATGAAGAGTTGAAGTGATCAACAAACGGTTAAGATACAGTGGACCAAGATTATCATGTTGATTTATAGTCATGCCTTGCCAAATCATTTTTATTCTTGTCTAAACTGCTTGTAAAAGTAGTACCATCTTAACTTCCACAACTTCCTCTTCCTTTTGCATACCCACACATCAAACTATGCACAGCCACAGAATACGAATGGATGTTAATCCTTAATTATTGTGCATGTGTTCTGTTAAACATGTACTAAATGAGATTTGACATTGGTCGGTCTTGTGGGTAGTATCACTATGTAGGCTTATAGGTAGATATCAAGGTTTTGGAGGAACATACTGTCTCCATCTTCACTTCAGCCTTGTAGATGGAGGCAGTATGTATCTATAAGTCTGCATGGCATTACTTTCCAAAGATCAGCGTCAACATATGTACTCAAGGCATGCATTTACAATCTTTCGCAGTTGGTGAGAAACCTGATGCTGGAAAAAGTATGATGATGTTAGCAAAGTTGTATAAGAGACTTTTGAAAGAAGATAGAGTTTGTGCTGCAAAACATTGTTAGTTGGAGGGCTTTTTGTTCACTGGAAAGTGAAATATCCTTTTTCCTGTAAAAGAAGAAAATCTTTGCATATTTATGAGAAGCAGTAGTTCAGGTGTGTGGTAAAAACTAAAATGTGCTAGCCTTAGAATTAGCAAAAGAAAATTAAATCCAAGGTTTCAAGGAAGGCAGGAATGGATGGTGAGGATTTTTACAATAAATGACATGCATATTAAAGACAAAACAAGTGTCTCCCACCAAGTTTGAGATGTATTTGACAGTAGTGAATGCTCCAGTATGACTAATGCCTCCAGACCACTAAAATTAGAGGAAAATGTTTTACTATGAGAAACAACATCAATAAAATGTATTATATTTTATTTCTGTAATTAAGCATGTTTCTTAGAAATAACCGTCCCTTTGAACAGTGTAATGACTTCATCTACAGCTAAATATTCAGATTGATAGTAAAATTTAGCATAGGTGTCATTGGGCATATCAGAGAGGGATCTTATTTTTGAAAGTCTATCATAGCAGTCCAGCTTATCTGGCTGACTTTTGTAGTCACAAAAGTGCAGAAATCTCGGTATGTAAAAAATCAGTGAAGATCCCTTTGTTCACGTTGGTGCCTCTTGCACCTTCAATCCGCTGAGGGCTACAATACGAGGTGCGATCGGAAAGTTTCAAGACTGCGCGTATAAAAACCCGTACACCTATCTCAGGTATTAAATTCATCCATCACCCTCAAAGCAGTTCCCCTGGGAGTGAACACAACGATCCCAGCGCCGCTGCCAAGCCTGGAAGCATCCCTGGAAATCTTTCTTTCTCAGCCTGTCAAGGGTTAAATACTCAAAATCATTATGCAGTTGTTAGTGAACTACATATTTTGTCACCTTTATGAAGCAAAGTCTACTGGCTCTGTCTAAGCCCAGATCTTTCAAAGTATAAGTAATACAACTGCCTTGAGTCCTGGTATATTAACATAACTTACAGGTTTGGACCAAAATTATAGTTTCTTTAGTTATGGCTTCAAATTGTGTGCTTTAATCATCGATTTAGCCAGTTCGAAATGTTGGAATTGCCAATTAAAGTATTTGCTTCGGCTATAATGAAACTAAACTAATTTTAAGTTGTGGGTATATGAATGTGGAACCCACCGCCATCGTCGAATTTGTATCGGTGCATTTTTCCGTTTATATTTTAATATGTTCACAGCCCATGTGTTCGGTGTCTATTTATCCGTGATATGTGTTATATTTGTATTATCTGTGATCTGCGTTGCAAAGAGTTACCTGTGTAATGTGTGCAAGGCAATATAATGCAAATTACGAAGGTTATATATGGGTTCAATCGATTTAGTTCGTTACTGGCGTTTAGTCTAAAAGCTATTGTTTACACATATTTTCATACTTCTTATTGCGGTAAATAAATATGCACATGTCTGTTGTTTTGGGGCATTAAAGTAAAAACCCATTCATGCCGAAAGTTATTTTATGGTTATGTTTGTTTGTTCCTGGGGTCATTGAAAATGTTTAATCATTGTGTGCATGCATGGCCTTGTAACAATATGATCACTCCTTGTGTGCCACAAGATGAGCAGTAGAAGAATCCAACATTGATACAGAATGCTAAAGTGGTAAAGTTTTGTAATTTCTGCTAAAACAAGAAACAAATGGCATTCTTTGGCACATTTTTGTAAAGATATAATTTTCCTAGTATGGTTTTGGGCCTGCTAAGACAGTAGCAAGTTGATGTATGGTTTTGGTGCCATTCTGCTTACAGTATTTTTTGTAATGATAATGCTTACATATTTGCATGGTCTGAAATTTGTGTTTGTTGCAGAACTACATCTGCCAATTACCTATGGGATTCTGGGACAAGTTGGTGAACCTTCTGGGATTTAAGAAGAAAGAAGTGAATATCTTAGTAGTTGGTTTAAACAACAGTGGGAAATCTACAGTTATAAATCATTTCAAAAATGAAGAGGAGAAATTAACAGAAATTGTACCTACAGTGGGTTTCAATGTAGAAAAATTTAAAAGTGAGTATAGAATCTGTTCGGTGCTAGTAGTAAGCAGGTTGGCATAGAAACAGAATAGAATAGAAGACAAAACCATAATACAGTAAATCCTTGTCCATTGCAGAGTTTAGGTTCCTTGAGAAGAGCGTGTTTGGTAAATGTATGTTGGATGTACTTAATGGGTTAAATGGAGATTCGTGAAATTTGCCACATGAAGTCTTGTATTAATGCCCAGATAAGTAGTATTACCATATGGCCAAACCAGATGCAACTTCACCAAACTTAATGCAATAGCCGATTGTAAGTGTATAAAATATATTTTTTTAAAATTCCCTTTATTTTATTTACGTTATTTCAGAACTTTAAATGTAATGTCATTATATTACTCGTCAATGTTTGGTGCTGGGAACGCATGTTGTTGGCTTCCCATTGATTTACATTATAAAAGAGTTTCGATTTACGCCGGTTCGTCCAGGAATGCATCCCCGGCGTAAATCGAGGGCTACCTGTGTATCCAAATTTTCTGCATACAGCAAATAATTGTACACATTTATTTATGCATATATTAGTAAATCAGCATTGGACAGGGGTTTACTATATACGGATAGTTACTAAATTGTTTAAAAGTGCAAACAAATTATATTCATCACACAATTTAGTGTACAGTAATTTTGCAAAGTATGTGCTGTTACTCACTTGGGAATTGTCCTGCGTTTTTTATAAAAATCTAAATATGTGCAGAACTATAATTTTACTTGTTTAGTATGGGTGTGAAATTTGGTCCCTCACTGTAATGGAATATCATACATTTTTTTCAGAACAAGGTGCTTATTTGTTCAAAAGAGCTAAAAGGAAACAGAAAACTAATTAATGAGAAGCTTCATCATTTCTGTACTCTTCACCAGTTATTATTAAAGGAAGGATAATGTGATGGGCAGGCCATGTAGCTTACATTGTGAGGTGGGAAATGCAAATGCCTACAGGTTTGTCAGAAGACCTGAGGGGAAGAGATTGCTTAGGAGACCTATAATTGAATGATAATATTAAAATTACTCTTAGCAAAACAGTTTTTGAAGTGGTGGACTAGATTGAACTGGCTGAGTATAATGTTCCGTTCAAGTTCTGTGGCTGAAAAATGCAGATCATTGAACTGTTCATTATGTGAGATTGGAGGTTCTCATGGCAGTGAAAATTTCAGTGTTGTTGTTCTGGCTCACAGATAGGTAAGTAGGTAGCTACATATTCATCATGTAATTTTCTCCAGCTTTACATTAATTTGTCTGTCTTAAATTCAGATACTTCAGTATCCTCTTCAAACACCATATTTTTATATTTTTCCTGTATTTTGAGGAACCAAATTGCCCATTCATACAAAGGACATGTAAAATTATAGTTGTGTAGATTTTAATCTTTACATTCAATCATTCCTAAGATATAAACTGATCTTAATTTATTGTTGAATCAGTAATAACTTATGGGGCAGAATCTTGGAAACTCACATCTCAAGTAGAAAGCAAGTTAATGTGCTTTGAAAGAAAAATTCTGCGAAAAATCTTTGGCCCCATAAAGAATAATGATGGATCGTATAGAATTAGATATAATGCGGAGTTAGAAGAATTGATCCATCATGAGCACGTTGTAAGATATATTAAATCACAATGGTTAAGATGGGCGGGACATGTGGTCAGAATGGGAGAGGATAGACTGCCACATTTGGTGTTATACCAGAAATTGTGGGGAACAAGACCTAAAGGAAGACCAAGGGGAAGGTGGATTGATGCGATAGAGGAAGATATGAGAAAGATGAAAGTGTGCAACTGGAAGAAGGTAGCTCAAGATAGGAAGAGATGGGGACATATTGTTCGGGATGCCAGAGCCCACCAAGGGCTGTAGTGCAAGGGAAGAAGAATTTATTGTTGAATGTGATTTTGATTTGTTTTCAAAATATATGAATTACATAAATGCTGATACATAAAGAGGAATAATTCACTTCTCTATCCAAACAACTGTGTCCCTATTGCAGATCAGAATGTTGGATTCACTGCTTTTGACATGTCTGGGCAGGGGCGGTATCGAGACCTCTGGGAACATTACTACAAGGATTGCCATGGTATAATATTTGTGATAGACAGCAGTGACCGTCTGCGTCTTGTTGTTGTCCGTGAAGAACTCAATCTTCTGCTGCAGCATCCAGACATCTATGGACGAAGATTTCCAATCCTGTTTTTTGCAAACAAAATGGATGTACGTGATGCTTTGTCCAGTGTGAAAATTGCTGCAGGCCTGGGCTTAGATCAAATTCTAGATAAATCATGGCACATCTGTGCTAGCAATGCCCTAACTGGAGAAGGTTTACAAGAGGGAGTGGAATGGCTTACACAGCAAGTCAGAGAATTGATCAGCAATAGATCATGAATTATATCACATACCTGAAATTTGGAACAAGAACATTTAGACGTTTTTAAAAAGCCATTTTTCTTTTTCCTTGCACATTGTAGTCCATGTTAGCTGTTTTGTACTCACTAAAATCTTGTAGTCTATTTTTAGGCTGTTATGTGGCTGGGACTGTATGTGTTTTTGTTGGATTGGATAGTAGTTTTTATAACCTGGAAAAGGAGTATAGATTTGGGGGGGGGGGTTTAGTAGGTTGTGACTGTGAGTGGGGATGATGCTGGGTTGTATGTTTATTTTAATACATTGAAGATACAGTTGTGGATGTCTATTTGTGTGTCATTTAGTTGAAGGTTTTGGTGTCTCTTCTGTTGGCTCCTGTGTTGTTGAACTTTGCCTTTTGGAAGAAACAGGTCCATCAGAGCCTGGAAGGGAATACAGTGTTCTTTGGCCCCAAGATCTATTTCTCTATATTCCAGCCAGCAAATAGAATGCATTCCTCAAGGCTGTTACACAATCTTTTCTCCAGTCTTTAATGTGGATGACCTCCTTGCTAGGTCTCTTCTGATGTGTCCAGTCGTCTGTCTCTGCACCACTTGGTTGGTGCCGATCATATTCCCATGGTGGCTCTAATTATTTCTTGCAGCCTTGCTGGTGGTCCAGCAGCCACCTTTACTGCCTGTAGGTTAAGATCCCATTGTAGAGCCTGATTTAACAACATATCACTGCCCGTGAAGAGGCTCTGCTTTATTTCTGTCTCACTCCATTGATGAATGCATGAGTAAACTCACAGGTAACCCGACAGGGGTCTTAGGTGGCATCACAGCTAACAAAACTTACATGCAACAATATATTGATATGAAAATTGGACTCCATATTGATGCACAACAGTTCCGTCCGTCTTGTGTCTTAATACGTGTTTGGAATGTAATTATTTCTAGTCATAAACTATATTTCATTGTTAAGATAACATTTATTTATGCTTACAATATGATTTATCATCATATCTAGGAGATAAAGTACACCAGACAATGTGCAAGAGTATTATTTTATTTAAATATATATTATTATTAGGTTAGCAAAAATTGGATTGTGTCTGACATGTTGAATAATATTTAAAATAAAATATAAATGATTGTATGCAACCCTTTTGTATGAAACCCATCTTTCTGTAGAGTGCAGATTATAGTATATCTTTGTGGATCAACAAAATTCTGTCTTACGTCAAAATTGTTTGATCCCCCCCCCCCCCCAATAATGTTACTTATGAACCCATATTTTGTATAGTATTGGGACAGAATAATATTCCTTTCATATTACCATTTTAACAATTATGTGCTTTTGCCTGTTCTATAAAACTAATATTTCTGGATAGCTTATTTAGTTTGGGAATGCAAGATGGGTAAATTTACTGTTTCAATATACAAACTAGATCAATTTAGCATATTTGGAGGATTCTTGAACTGAATTTTAGTGCCAGTTCGTCCAGATAATTTTTTATGTAACTTTTCCTTAGTTCTTCTGTAACAATTTTACACTCATGGTACACCATAAAATTTTGCTTCACGAAAAGGTGGTGCATATCTATACAGTCATAAATATGTGTCTGCATGTAAGTCCTTGACCTGTAAGTGTGCAGGCATATGGAAACATAATACATGTTGAGTAAAACTATTGGTTTCACAGTGAGTGTATCACAAATTCTGATGGCTGCAGATAAGTTGCTGCCAATTTCTAACTCTAATTTACAAATATGTAATTTCTTATAAAAACTTGTGATACACCTGAAACCTTGTGGTGGCACCTCAGTGGGCTGCAAAACACTATTGTAGATAAATACTTTGTTACAAAGTATGGACACTTCATTTTTGTTCTTGGGTTACTATCTCTAATTGTCATCAGTTTTGGCTCTGGTGGAAAAAAAGTGGGATGTAAAGGTACAGAATTGGTTCTGTATGAAGGTATTACTCAAAGTTTGCAGCAAGCATAAATTTACTTCACTGCCAGCAAACGGTTTCTCCCAAATATCTTACTGCTTTAAATGTAATAATAATAATAATAATAATATTTTATTTTCTGTAGATAAAAATACATTGATATAGGATATGTCAATCTAAATTATACATTATCAAAATACAATAATGATTAAGATATTTTCCCATTGGAGATATACATTAGATTATCAGTAGACAATATTTGAAAATTCTTCATTAAGATAGTCTTCTAGTGAATAATAAAACCCCTTAATAAGAAAGCCCTTCAATTCCTTCTTAAACTTATTGATATATTTTATTTGTTTTATTATGGTAGGCAGTTTGTTATAGAAGACACAACCTGCTACTTACGATTTACTCTCATAAAGTTCTAACTTGTGTACATACGAGGTGCGATAGGAAGGTTTCCAGACTGCGCGTATAAAAACCCGTACACTTATCTCAGGTATTAAATTCATCCATCACCCTCGAAATAGTTCCCCTGGGAGTGAACACAACGATCCCAGCGCCGCTGCCAAGCCTGGAAGCATCCCTGGAAATCTTTCTTTGTCAGCCTGTCAAGCACCATCTGCGATTCTGCCTGAATCTCTTCTATCGTCTCAAATCTCCTTCCCTTTAGCTGAATTTTCATCTTGGGGAAGAGGAAGAAGTCACACGGAGCTAAATCCGACGAATAAGGAGGGTGCGGGATGACGGCCATAGTGTTTGAGGCCAAAAACTGCCGAACTTTGAGGGCGGTGTGCGCTGGCGCGTTGTCATGATGCAGCAGCCAGTTGTGGTTGCGCCACTTTGACGGCCGCTTCCGTCCTTTAGAATCAGCTGACAGGTCCCATAGCCTAGCCCAACAATGTCGCACAAGTCGTTGAGGGTACGACGTCGATCTTCGTGAATGGCCTGCCGAATCTTCGTAACATTTTCGAGCGTTGTGCTCGAAGATGGTCGTCCAGAACGCTCGTCATCATCGACAGAGGTTCGGCCATTTTTAAAACGTAAATGCCACACAAAAGTTTGTGCACGACCCATTGCGGACTCCCCAAATGCTTGCTTTAGCATTTCATAGGTTTCCGTAGCCGTTTTGGCGAGTCTTTGGCAAAATTTGATGCACACGCCATTCCGAAAGCGCAGGAGGGTCGGTGTAATGCACTACCAAAACGCCCGTAACAAAGAAACAAATGCTAATTCGATGATGCCGGCTGGCACACTGATTCACTATGAATGTAGGCCGCACCCCCTAGCAGCAGAAGCTCGTACTACATCC